TCACACATTTTTTGATTAATTCATTCAACCGATCAATTCGTATTCTACGAATTCGTAAAAATAACGGCGAAGTGAAGTGAGAAGTATGCGAATCGATGAGAAGAGACGAATCTATCTATTTTTAACCTCAGAGAAAAGTGTCCTGTTCCTGACATCAATTTGTATTTTACGAAGTCTATTTCTGAATTCGTCGGTTATGCTTTGGCATCTATGAATTCGTAAATTCGCATTTTATCGTATTTTTGCCAATTTATGAATTCGCACATAAGCACGATCGAAATATCTAAGAAATATCATCTTCTTTTCATCATTTTTCAGTTATAGATCATCAGTTTTGTACTTTCTTTATTATAGACTTTCAACTATGTTTAGATCAAGTCCTGCTGGGTAGCCAAGTCTCACCTGTGGCTTTACCAAAATTTTCTGTTCTCACGCTTTTTTATTCCGTTTGAACGATCAGAAAACGTGTTCTAGAACGTTTGAAAACGCGTTTTTTGTACGTTTTTAACGCAAAAGCAACGCGTTGCGAAATTTTAAACAAATAGATAAAGAAAAACACGTTTAAACGACAAAAGAAGCGTTGGTTTTGAAACATTTAACGCGTTTTTTGGTCGCTAAAAATGGAAAAAAAATGCGGTCTTTTTGTCAATCTCTGGGCGTATATATTGTTGTCAAAGGACGTGAAATTTCGACAAAATTCTCTATTTTAATGATGTGATGGAAAGAATATATATAGACGCTAAAAGAAAAATATAGAATAAATAACAAAACAATAATGTTGAGAAGAAAATAGTAATAGAACTAAAATGAATAGATGATACGATAGAGGGGACGATAATGAATGATCAAGGAAAAAAGTAGAAGTTAAATACTTGAAGATGATAACGCAGGAGTGAATGAGTGAAAGCGACGGTACTGTCTATAATAGTAGTTTTTTGTTGAATAAATGTTGCTAAATTTACTCCGTATTAAATTAATTCCCGATTAAATTAATTAAGTCATGATATTACTTTTGACGGTAGTGGAATTTCGACGATGTTGTCAAAATTTCAAAATAATTTCTAAAATTTTACAAATTCCATTGGAATTTCGACATTTGGCGAAATTCCCATGGAATTTTCTAAATTCGCAGAAATTCCGCTATAATTTCGACGTGTCAAAATTCCAAAGCAGAAATTTCAAAAGCAGATCGGTGAGTTTACCTATGTCATCATTCTGTCCGTTCGTTCATGTAAGAATTGCTAGTGCATCCAGACGAACTACATCGAACAGGCAAATATTATTGGAAGAAAAACGGTGTTTAGAACAAACAACATCGTTAGTTCTTGGTGCAAGTGGCATGATGTTGTTGATTTCGCTATACTTTAGGTTAAAAAGATAAAATAGAGCTTGTCAATCTTTTCGAAAGCGGTACTACTTATTGTTTTATTACGAAACTAAATGAATAAATAAAGCACAAATCACGATCTGAAATTTCTTCTTCATGAATATCAACTACACCAATAAAAAAAACAATTTAACTATTTTTCACGTGCTCAAGTATTTCAAAATACATACACAAATAGAGGACTGAATGTAGTGCGTTGTTTAGGACTCTACTCTGAGAATGGATATAATAGCTTTTACTTATGAATCTTTTTACGTCAATATACTTTACAATATCAAAAGAAAAATAACCCTAAGGTAATACATTATCATACCATCGATAAAGTGAATAAATATTCCGGTTATTTTTAAAAAAATCAATTACAAAAGTATTAATTGACTTAATAGAAAATTTACGCAAATCATTGAAAATCATTGAAAGAGAAATTGACTCAGTCATTGAACACTATTCGGATATAAATTGAACTGAAACTGTCACTAGTTTTGCTTTTAAGTTCAATGGAAAGAACGACTGCTATTCCATTTCATAAGTCTTTGAATCTATCTAGTCGAGTTTGTGTTTAAACTTTGGCAAGTTTCAACAGTGTTCGATTTAAGTTCCGACATGACCAAAAAGTATGAAATAATTGTGGTAAAAATCTGAAAGAAAGACATTCGAATATTCTAATAATAAAGTTAAAAAAATAATAGACATTTACTCCAAGTACTGTTTCCTTTTTTAGTATCAATATGCCCCAGGTTGATATTCCAATTTCATCACCTGTAAGACGATTAAGTAACATCATCATCTAAAATAAAAGTGATATAGTTAAGGCGAATTATGTTTGTAACATTATTCAGCGACAGAATTTCATTATTGAAAGTTTTCATTAGTCAGACACATAAACATGAAAGGTCATTTGAAAATACAGTGTAAGCGGCTATTTTTTCAATAATATTGATAAAAAGCGATAGAGACTTGCGATTCTTGGTGTTCGATAGAAGACATTTTATGACACACATCTACGAAAAACCTCAATTTAAGTTTTCAGTTTACCATGATGAACCTCACCAGGCAAAATATATTAGATTGTCAGAATTAGAAAAACAATCGATTTTACCATTCAAATCTCCTCTGCGTTTCTACACAAGCTTTCCAGATTTATATTGACCATGATTCAGACGTGGTATAAATCTCCTGAAGAAACCACGTGTCCCTCCAGATTTGGGTCGGACAATGTTAGAAATAAACAAACATATGCTTTCGAATATCCTGAGTCTCGTCAGCAATGTTAGTTTTCAGAATAAAATTGGAAAACCTGTTGAAAATCCATATTATATGAATATCCCATTTTGGGCTATTCACACTGAAAGTCAAAACATTCATAACTCAGCCAAAATCGATAAAACCACTTCAGAATATCGAGACATGCTCTGTTTTACTTGTTCAATTCGTTTCTATACCTAAGCTCATTGAAAAATATTTTCTTGCTTTAGAAGATTTCTAGAAAACCTTTCAAAACCCGAAGTGTATTCTATAGATTGTAAATCGTTTACTGAACTCCTTAGTACTGTGTAGGTAAAGCAGAGCATCTCTTGATATTTTTCAGTGGTTTCGATCGTTTTTGACTGCGTTATGAATAGTTTGACTTTCGGTGAGAGTAGACTAACCTGGATTATTCCGCCTAATTTAGATTTTCAACATGCTTTCGGATTTTAGTCCGAGAAGTCACATTATCCACTAGAATATTAGCTCGAGATATTTACACGAATCGACTTTAGTCGAAGTGTTTCTGGCTATACGATCCAATCCACCAGTATCGATCGATGTGTACTTTTCACATGTTTTCATCGGAGATGTATCCTCAGCATGGGTAAGATCATATATAAGATTGCGAAAAAGGAAAATCGAATAAATGACTGTCCTAAAATTCATATCAAGGAAAAGAGGAAGGGAAAAAATACACCTACATACTTACTAGGTACATGGGTATCGGTATATCGAACACCGAGCATACCAATATGATAAAGGGTAGTCATCTGGCTTAGTCCAAAGATCCAATTATCTTTCTAGTATTGAAACTGAAGTATTTTTAATGTCTTGTAAGTTCAAAAAGAATTAAGTTTCAGACAAAAAGCATATCTTCTTACACAAACTTGGAGAAGAGCAGGTTGCTGATAAAGACTCGCACTTACTTTATTTGACTTTTTAAGCGTATTAGACATAAACGAAAGTCCTTTGATCTATTAAAATGAATTAGGTATTACAGCTGCATCTTTGTTCTTTTCAACCAATAGATATATTGCGCTTTTCCTTCAAAACCTGGATCTAGAAGCTGTCGTCATGCGTCAGTACTAATCGGTATCAGTACTGCCGATATCGGTATTTCGATATCAGTACCAATACATACCTAATACCTTCCGACCAGTACTAGTCGCTCAAAATTTCTTAGAGGAGCCAACAAGTGACTCTTTAAGTTCTTTCTCGTGAACCGTAGCAGCTGCAGTAAATTTGAGAATGGACTCGTGCAGGCCTGGGCAACTCCAAGTCCGGAGTTAAGGATTTTTGTGGTGGAGTTGGAGTTGACCTCGGCAGAGTCGGCGCTGGAGTTGAGATTTTAGTAGGTTTGAGTTGGGTTTTTGAACTTTTATTCTCAACTCCGTTTTACATTTTTGGAAATATTCAATAGTTGTAGACTCATCTTCTAAACGACTGAGTGGCTGTATTCACGAGTGAATTCGAAAGTTCTTTACGGCTTCCTGCCGGAAAAAGCTCAAAAACTTCAAGAAACCTGCTAAAAACCGAAAATCTTCGTACAAAATTGAAGCAACCGGAGTTGAACTGGAGTTGAGATTTTTTTTTGAGAGAGTTGGAGTTGAAAAATTTTGAACGAAGTTGGAATTGAAAGTCAGCGGAGTTGCCCAGCCCTGGACTCGTGTACTACTGACTTTGGTGTGTATGTTAGTGCAGTAGTCAACGGGTGGGCTAACCTTACCCATAAGAGGTGAGTAAGTCCAAGTTTGGACTTGAAGCCTAATTTGACGGACTTGGACTTGGAGATCTTTTTATCAAATCCATTTGAAATCCAGGGAGTTAAAATCCCTTACATTCAACAACGGAATGAGCATAACCTTATAACTTATCTAATTTGTTAATCTTTTTTTGTCAAACATGCATCAATGTATGGATAACATTCGATTGTGACGATATGGTTATGGCGTAGTATATAGTGCAGAAACTGCTATGAAAAACCTCGATCCGAAGTTGGACTTAGAAATAGTTGGACTTGCCCACCTCTGACACCCACCAACTATTTTAACATTTTTCTCGGCCTAAATTTTTCTACTCTATTCTATGAACTTTTACTGAACAAAAACACACTACTCCGAAAGCTTCTAAACTTTTTGCGGCAGTGTCTACTCACTACGAAAATCCTGGCTTCGCCACTAGTGTATGTATGCCATAGCAAAAACTATTTACTTAACTATAAGCTGTTTCGAAATTCTTTTTCCAAAACTCCAAAATGTTTGAAAATCCTTACTTTTACAGTTTGTTCTTAAACTGTTTGCCTCCACTTTAGCTCGATCTGATCGTGGCTCTTATCGACTCAAAGTTCACGCTTGAATAAATAAAGTTAAATTAAATTTAGCTGCTAAAGATGATCAAAACGAATCGATTTAGATTAAGCTTAAATTGAATTACTTGTGTATTGAAATCAATCGAACATCCAGTGGCCGGTAATTGATGTAAATAAGTTAAAGATCCTCGAGTCTAAAAACGATACTCAGAACATATTATTCAAACTGCAATAAAGGGAAATGGTTACTTACAACTGAGTTTAATAGTCCAGCTGTGATCGCTACGACAAAAACATAAAACATACTGGCGAATGCCCAAAAAACGACCATCACACTGAGTAATGTTCCTAAATCTATTCGCTGTGTCCACATCGTCGCTATTATATACAACATGAGAAATGCCATAATAATATTGATACTTAGAGCGAGACTAACGTAGATTTGAAACGTTGAATCCAACGTATGAACAAGTTTTATTATTTTATTATGAGACTGACGCCAATATTCAACTCGTTGTTGAGCATTTGATAGTTCAACTTCTTGTTTAATATATTCATTGAAGTTTTGAAATTCACTGAATCCAATTAGACATAGAATGGAAAATAAAGTTGGCGGTAAAACCCAGGCTGCTGATGCATAAAACTGTAATAAACAAATAAATAATTTATAAGGTATATTGCTTATGATCGTCGGTTTTTGATGAAGGGGTGCTAAGAACATTTGAAATGTTTTCATATATTCAGATGGACCAAAATAGGCAAGACAAAATCCGAATGTATTAGTTAGGATAGTAATTAAACATAGTGTAACTACCCAATATATTCCAGATTTAAAGTATTTTGATATGCCCGATTGACATTTAATACGTTTACAAAATTTATAATCAAACATAATTGTATAAAATTTATTCTTTTGATATGAACTAATAATGAAGGTTGTTTGTGTACAAGAACAAAGCAGTAACCATAACTGAGAAACAATTGTTATCATCAACGATGGTAAACGTTGTTCAATTTTATAGTTGTAATTAGTTAACAGAAATACGGATATAAATTTTAATGTGTTGAACCATGATAAAAAGCAAATAAATAGACAATAGACAAGATGTAATCGATTCTTTTTTCGTTTATCTGCTTTTGATGAATATTCATAGTATAAACCGGTTAATTTCATCACAGTTAATAATGATTTCAATAGAAAACCAATTGTTAAATCAATACTTTTAGACTCACGAATATTCACCCTTTCTAACATAATACACATTGAATTTAAGCTTTTATCTAATGATGTAACATCATATTTCGAATATGGTTGCATATTCGGCCGTCTCATGTTTGTTCGATAAACTTAAACTTAATATAAAATTTAGGCAACATGTGATACACTAGGGGAGGCTTACGTTTATTTCTTTTTCGTTAAAAGTTAATTAATAATACAAAGTACAAAGTTCTCTTTCTTCTTCGTCTTCTCCATGCCTGTCAATTTATATTATATCATGAGGGAAAAAAGTATTTTTTCTTGTTTTATTAAAGAAATATCCAGATAGTTTTTGACTCCTTTCAAACAGAACGAGTAAGAGAAATTAGTATTTAGTACTGCTGTTGACGTCATATAGAAGATAAATTGTGTTATTTTAATCAAACATGTCCTATGTTGTCATAAACACACAACCAATTATTTTGTCCAATTATCGATGAGTTCTTCTATGGTATAAACTATGCATATATCTCAAGAGAAAGTAAATCTAGGAAAATTTGAAATTCTTCTACACTATAAAAAATAAAGTGCTACAAAAAGTGTTTTTTATGAAAATTGTTTTACTATAAAGTGCATGGGTACACATAGCCCTTTTAGATATAGAGAAAATAAATCACTTTTAATCTGCTGCAAACTAGAGCACTTCGTGAAATAACGTGCTTTCGAAGTGATTTCAAAGAGAGCATTTTTAAAAATGCATAGTAGAAAGATGCTTTTGAAGTGGCCCAAGAGAAAACACTGTGACAAATAGTGTGACATGAAGCATTATTTTGAAAAGACACTTTTTAAAGTCATGTTAACAAGTCAGTCACCTCTTTTACTTTGCTATTACTACTAGTGTATATGTAACGCTGATTTTCTTCGAATAACTTGGAAAATTTTCCCTTGAACGACTATACAAGCCATCGAAGCTTGTCTCGAAGAAGGAGCCTTAGCCGATTGATTAGTATTGGTGATAGTATCAGGCTTTTGAGACTGGTACTAAGAATAGTTTCATAGTTCAAAGGAACCAAAAATTAACAAAATTAGAAAATCATATTTATAAGTTCAAAATCAAATATAATGAAATTCGACAAATGTCTTTCGAAAAAGTGGTCTAGAGAAGCGCACTTCAAAAGCGATCTCTTGTGGCGCTGATTCTATTTGTAGCGGTCTTTATTTGGTTTACTTTTCAAGTGACCACTAGGGAGCGCTTTGCAAGTGGTTTTCTTTAAAGCACTATTCAAAGTGTTCTTCAGTCAAACACTTCAGGAGCACGACAAAACAAGACCGCTACAAATAGAATGAGCACTACCAGAGAGCGCTTTCTTTTTTACGGTGTAGGAGAAACTAAAAGCTGTATCTGTAACAACTTATATCATTTATCATGTCATTTTCCGCTGATATAATGGCCTTGCCCGCATCTGTGTAAAATGATTATTCTTATTTCTCTTTCTTGAATAAATAAAGTTTAAACTAAACTAAAAGCTGAAATTTTCCTCGGCGATCAAAGCTCTTTTCCTTTGCTTTCATTTCAAACCGCTAACTTTACTTTTTTCTCTACACGAGACAAAAATGAGTGATGAGTGATCAATAAACACAGTTTCAACAAAAGATTTCAACACGGTATTTTTTCCTGGATGATATTTTGTAACTTACTAAGTTCTTGTTTCTCCGCAAGAACATTTCTTGGTTGCATAATTACCATTCCAATTACATGCTTCGGCAGACGCAGGTCATCCTGATACACATTCTTTACTGACTTGAATGAACGTCATAGTTGGCAATGTTAATGAACTGAAAAACACTCTACTGATTGATATTTGCGTATGCACGCTTACATACTTGCTGCAGATTTTAAGAATGATTTTCTGTTATTACATGCATTACACTGCGAGATAAACAATCACCACAATAGACTAGTGTCCAAGAACACTGGTCTTTCGTCTGAAAGGAATCAGAAAACTTGGTTTAATCACAAACTTTTTTCTTCATACCTCCAGCAAAGTCATGTGCTATTTGTTGTTAAAAATAGATTAAGTAACGGGAGCCGTCAAAATTTGCGTCGGTGAATTTATTCACCGATGAATAGGTTCACCGGTAATTGAATTAGAAAGAAAATTGAGAACAGTATTGTTCAATCTGACTGATCGTATAACAGCACGAACACGTATGTCTATAATCCTTTCTGTACTATACTTGACTTAATTGATTTGTATATTTAACCGGTATTATGTGATGTTAGGAAATTGTTTTAATCAGCACCTATTGTTAAATGAAGAATATAGCAAAAAAAGGATATTAAATATAAATATTTTCAGTCAGCCAGCCAGGTAACAAGCTGTGAAACACTATTCATAGTATTCCTGTCTTTTAAGCTACTATTTTTCTTTTACGATGCATGTGCACGATGTAATCACGATGTTTTGAAATGTACTTCTCGCGTGATTCTGTTCCCAGAACCAAGTTCATGTTGTGTACAGGGGAACTGTGACTGTCGATTTGTCTGCTGAAACAGGATTAACAACAAATGTATAATAAAATTTGTTTTGCTCACTGTAACACCGTTCGAGAGTGTAAGCGGGGCAATTACTCCTAATTGCACTGGTGACGCCCCACCAATGATTAAGACCCAACTCGAACTTCGTGTGCTTTTACATTGCTGCTACGGATCATTACTATAATTAATCTAACAGACACTTTCTAACTGTCTCCTGGAATGACGAATCTTTGTAACGGTAAACATCGTTAACGCAAAAAGTTCTTTTCTGAGAACAACATGGTACATATTTTACGTCTTTTCGAAAATCTCTTATAAACTTTATCCAAAAGTTCATGCAGTTATAAGATTCAAAGCAGAACATTACTTTTACAACAAACGCGTCATGAAGCAAATAAAGACTCATAAATCCGTGCTGTTATCATGGCTAGCCTTTATTCATGATAAAGAAGTCAAGTAACAGAGAGAAATTATCCTGGTTCTCGTTTTTGTTTTTTGTGTTGTTTTCTTTTATGCACTTAGTCTTATTTTAACCTTTTCTAGTCAATGTAGTACAGTGCATGCCCTAGAGAATGTCCAGTTTCCCTGATCAGACGACTGATTAGCAAACTGTAAGTAAAAAAGTCTTTGTCCTGTTTTCTTGGTCAGGATCTGTTTTTTTTCCTGACCAGTAAAAGAATCAAGAACAGGACCTGCTTTTTGGATAGTCATCAGCATTTAACTATACTTCGGCGTTAAAAGTGACTATAGCTTTTTCAGGTTTGATTACATCATGTTTTACTCGGACTTTTCTTCGAGAACATGATGTAAACAGTTTTTGAGGTTTTTATCAGCCCCATGA